GTTCAGGGGTGAATAATATTACATAGTTTTTTTTTGTAAACGAGCAGACGGATCACCTGATGGTAAGCAATCGGCGTCACCCATGGACACCTGGAACACCAGAGGCGTTACAAGTGCGTTACCGGCCTTTTGGGGATTAGAAGTTAGAGGATCGTTGGGGATTCAGGGATTGGGGAAGGAGAGGATAATTGGGCCTCCGGTAACGTCACTCAGACGACGAAACACAACGTAAGCGTTGTTTCAAGTCACGAACACTTAATTAACCCATTACCTATAATTATTAAATGTAATAACATCATTATAACATCACGCCTTTTATCCCCTAAGGGGTAGGCAGAGGTGCACATTATACCACTGTACAATGTAACACCCACCCACGCAGTCGCACTTACGACCTCTCGGCCAACAATGACGACGTTAAGTGACACTTAGCTTAAGAGTTTTTTAAAATTTAAATAAGGTTAGAGGAATGTGTGTATTGCTATTTACAGAGCCGTAGAATTAATAAAAATACCCAATAGCATTGCGCGTGCGTGACCTGGGAATTGAACTCGACATCCCTTTCTCAGAAGTGGACCACAACGGTAACTTATGTAGCTTCATCAGCACATTTCCGTTTGCAGTAGCTTTTTTATAATAATTATTATTAAGAAAACTATGTAGTTCTTTTCTTCTGACTAGCTACAATCGCGCTGTTTCACTTGAAACTCTTCAATCTATACAACTAAACTATCTAACTAGAGAATAGGGCTGATGACAGGATATGAAAATTAAAAATGTAATTAGTCCGTCAGTTAGGTAATGAAACAATATTAGACGCGTATTTTTTTATTTTGTCGTATAATAAAACAATACTTAGATAAAACGAGTTTAGGAGTGGGGGCTAAAACGTCATTTCTACGTATAAAATGTACATAGAAGTGACGTCACGCGACATTTCAAATCAATATATTATCGTCGAAAATATTCGTTTCCGTTAAAAAATTAAAAATACGTGTCTAATGTTTTTAAATAATCTACCAGACGGACATTAAAATAATAATTAGTCATCTACCCTATTGTATTGTGAACCTGATTGAAAAAGAGTAACCTATGGAGTTTCTTGATCGTTCTTCTCCATAGGGATCTACCTACACCTTGGAATGAGCAAATAGCTGCACTTTTAATTTTTTGTTGACGTTCAAAAGTGACTTTAAGCTCTAATTGAAATACATGATTTTGACTTTGACTTTAGACTCTGCTTAGTTGTAATGAGATGTCCTATAGCCTATATTGGTTCTCAGTACTCTGTTATAGATGGATGAATTGTTTATTTCTATAAAAAACTTAAATAACAAATATTACTTAAATAAAATTAAAACTTATTATTGTTATAGATATTAGGGTTTTTCCTGTGTCGTGGGTGCGTTTACAAACATACAAGTTCACATACACATGACACACAGACCCCGGAACAATAATTTGTGAATCACAGAGTTGCTCCGTGCGGCAATCGAACCCTCGACACTTTGTACAGCAGCCGTTTGCCCAGCTACCGCCAACCAAGCAGTCCTTCTATTATCTCTGACAATAGAAGACAGAGAGAGAGAAAAGAAGAGAGGCAAATAAAAGTTACGTTTGTTGTTCAAGAGGGAATCGAACCCAAGGCTTAACACGTACCACTCAACCAACAAGGCAGTCATTTACATAACATAACATCACGCCTTTTATCCCCTAAGGTGTAGGCAGAGGTGCACATTATGCCACTGTGCAATGTAACACCCACTTTTCACTATTTATGTTATGAGTCCCATGTAATAGGGGGTGAGCCTATTGCCATATACCGGGCACAATTCCAGACTCCGTGCTACCACTGAGAATTTTTAAAAAACTCATGCAGTAATACTTTGCCCTACCCGGGAATCGAACCCGAGACCCCTTGCCCGGCAGTCGCACTTGCGACCACTCGGCCAACGAGGCAGTCGTTGTACTTTTATCCATCATGTAATTGAGTTAATAGCTTAGATTTCTCTCTAAAGGACGTACAGTACCCGGCATTAAATATTGCACATCGACCTTTGGAACGGAGACAATCCGGCGTGATACCACGGCCTCACAGAAAACCGACGTTGTTTCACGTTGTGTCACTCGACCGACCTCTTGCCAGTATGTAGC